GGGGGGGGGGGGGGGGTTCAACCAAAAAGGAGGAAGGCCCCACAGCTTTCACCCCAAAAGGGCCATTTTCTACCCAAGTCTGCCTGCCTGCCTAGAGACGAGCCATGCCTGGAATACCAGCCCTACGCAACTTGGCTTTTGGGGGGGAGGGCCGGGTAGCCAAAGGTATGGGAGTCAGAAAAAAGAGGAAGGGGCGGTTTGAGTAGGGGGCTGCTGCAGAGAGGAGAGCCTCAGCGCCAGGAGGGCTCCCCAAATCTTCTGCCGAGCAACCAAGAGCCGCTTTCCGGCCGGGGGGCGGGGGGGAGGAAGGGGCTCCCAGGTTGTGCCAGTCCGGGCCTTGCAAGGGAGGGGGTCCCTCACCCCTTGTAGGAGAGGTCGAAGCGAAGCGGCATCTGGAAGTCCAGCTGAATGGTGGCACACTGGTGGTATCGCCCCAGAGCGTCCTGGATCTGAATGTCCACCTGCAGAGACGGGCAAAGGCCCAGCGGGGAGAGACTCAGCCCACCGCGGACACCCACTGCAAGCGGCCCCAAAGCGACGGGGAGCCGGGAAGCTCCAGGTGGAGAAAGCCCACCGAAAGGTTTCTCCCCCCGGGGGATCGGGCCCTTTGGTTCCCAAACCCTGCGGCTGCTAAGCCGGCCGAGACGGGAGGCGGCCTTGGGGCATCGGACGGGCAGCTCAGCCCAGAAGGACCGTTTTCTCTCACGGCGGCTGAGATAATCATGAAAGTTGGCCTGGGTGCAGAATCAGGGCCGCTCGGCCCGGGGGGGGGTCTAAGGACCTGCCGGCTGGGAAGTCCAGCTGGCCCTTCCCCCCAAGAGGCTCTTTCTCAGACCCCCGACTTCCTTCAAAGGGCGTGGCTCCTGAACCGCACCCCCCTCCCCCCCCCCCCCCGGGCAGGGGACTGGCTTGGCACCAGAGCCCTTGCAATTGTGGGGGGGGGGGCTGCGTGGGGGGGGCATCCAAGGGGCCAGCAGCCCTGGGGGGGGTCACGGGGTTCCTGGCCATTCCGTAGGATGCAGAGGAAGGTGGCCGGCCCAGGTGGCCAAGCCGCCGTCTGGAGGGTTTACAAGGCTGAGGTCACTC